AGATGTTTCTACGAATCAAAACGATGCTCATCGGAACGGCACGGTTGGTATTGAAAAAGCGCCTCTCCTGCTATAACAGATTCAGGCTTGCTTAAAACATTCGCGCTCAAAGTGTCCTTAGGTATCTCCGGGCCTTATTCGGCTCATCAACTAGTTTCTTGGCATCATGGATTCTTGTCTTTAACGAGATTCTCTCTCTCTCTCTCTCTCTCTCTTTCTCTCTCTCTCTCTCTCTCTCTCTCTCTCTCTCTCTCTCTCTCTCTTTCTCTCTCTCTCTACGCGCGAAAACCGATGTGACTGGTTTGATAGCAAAGCGGCTGATGCGAAGCGAATTTGTGCCTTTTCTTTAAACAAAAAAATTTGAATTTGTGCTTACACGCAATATTTCAAATCATTTGTTTCTGAAGCCAATATAATCCAAGTATTAGAAAACGTGGCCCAATAGCAAGCGAGTGTTTGCTAGAAGAGAGTATTCAACACTATTGCTGGGTTGGAGGGATACTAAAAAAAAACAAGCTTTTCAGAACAGCATATAGTTTTTTTTTCACTCCCCCGCTCCCGACGGGTTAGCCGCATGCTTAGCTTATGTGGTGCATATCATTTGCAAGGATGATGATATATCGAGTGCAATTCGTTTGTAAATGGTGCCAAGCCCGTGTCACCTGAAAGTACTACCACCGGTTGGGAGAACGAATTGTGGAAATTGCCTCGATTGGCGTGCGACAGCATTGAAACGGAAATTAGTGCAGGTAATTTAGCACTGGTTCATTGTAAAACAAGACTTGAAAGAGAGGGATGCGAGCAACAGCCTTCACAAGGAATTTGGAAACGACAAAAAAAAATGGAGCTTTTGGCCAGAGGTGAAAAGCTCTTTTCCGTGGTGGAGAATGACCGCCCTCGATTCTGAAGCTCGGCTGACGGACCAAGAAGTCTTTAGTCATTCGCGCTTTTCCTCCACGAGGCCAAAGTCTCTTCCTTCTCAGTGATAAGTTCATGCATTGCCATGCCGCAAACGATTGTCCTGCTGTACTCGTCTGACATCCCTGACTTGGGGCTCGATAGCCCTCGCAACGGCGTTACAACATCCCGAGGGAGTTCGCTGAAAACGGTCCGAACCCTGCCTCGGTCCGACGAAGGCAACGAAATAACCGTCTCTGTGTCGGCAACGACCGTTATTCTTCGTCGACTTGCTCTAGCGGAACTCGTGGGTCGACCTTGTTTCGGCCAGTCGCTGTGTCCGTCAACGGTGTTGTGCACCATGGACAAGTCACAGCGTACCACAATCGTGTCTACGATGTCCAGACTTCGTCTGGAATGCTTAAAGTGCCATATAACGAGGTCGAGGGAATAGCACCTGCAATCGCAATCTTACAGTCGCAATCTATCGTGCTTGTGGAAATTACTTCCCCATCCGATATCGATAGGGTCCATAACTCGATATTCAACCGGTTGTTTGGTCAGAACGGGCAACGAGCCACTAAAACAATCTCGAAGCTTTTAGAGGGAATCGTGTCTCGTGCTTCAATGCCTCACGCTGGTGACCAAGTGCCTAGGAAGTGTCCACATTCTGGGGTTGACAAGCTCCTCACGGTAGAAACAGTGGTGGATTTTGCGTTCTATAAAGATGGCAATCGCGCAATTCCGGCCAGTGTCAACATTGGTGACACCTACTCTGATGTTATCGAATCGCGTCAGAACCAGCGTCGAAACAACGCACGACCTACAGTACTAACGCACGTTAGTCTACGTAATCTACGAAATTCAAGATCACGTAACAGCCCTGCTGCTCAACCCTCTCAGCGAAGTCGAGACCAAGAACATGCACGGAGTGTTCAGCAGACAACCTTTCACAATGATGCTCACGAGGATGAGCACTTCGATGGAGAACAAGCGATTCGATTTACGGATCTATTAGCAGCATTGACGAGTAACGAACCTGCTCCAAAGCGCCACCGTACTACGCCGCCTACAACCACACATGAGTCTGAACGTGCTTCGGAAGCGGTATCACCTGATAGGATCGAATCTCATCCGCAATCGTCGGAAGGTTCATCTCCTACCCATCCCGGGACGATGGCACAAGAGATCTTAGCCTTACTGGCCCCACACCCGCACCTACTGATCGAGTATGCACAGCAGCTACAGCAGTTACAGTCAGCAACCACTCACTCAAGAGTCGCATCGGCGGCATTACCAGAACCAGTACATCCCCCTCCTTACTAACGACAACTGGCAAGCGCTTCGGATTTGTTATCTACAAACGCCACCGTGGACAGAATCGAGGATTCAGCACGATGTTCATCGGGTAATTTCAGCTCCAACATATTCAGGTAAGACTACAGAGGATTTTCTCGACCATGTACGCACCTCGGACGCATACCCCATCCAGCTATTGTGTCTCGCCTGTTCGACTTTGACTTTGATTCTTGCAGCCTCTCGGTATTGCATTTTCTACGCTGGGATATCAACGCCCAAATCAACAGGAAGAAGACGGAGACTGTCAACTTGCGTAATTTCTCGCCGAAAGTAGAACTGCCAGATATCCGTGAGCACCCCGAGTACAGGGATCTCGTAGCGGTCATCTTTGGTACTCCACACTTTCGCTCAAGAAATTTTACACGCAAGTATTCGTCACAGCAGCAAAGAAGTTTGGTGACATTCTGTTCAAATTTTCTCCTTGGATTTCACGGGAAATTGTTGTTCTCGCATCCTGGTTTACCAGCGTATTTGGAGCTTATAGAACAGCGGCGATAAATGATGTGTCATCAGGCCTCTGTATCTGCTCCACAGTTCAGAACCTTTTCAACATGCAGGACGGTGAACTCAGCAATTTATTGTTTAAGCTAGTTCGAGAGCCTCCTCGATCTGCTACTAACACTTCCGACGGCACAACACACGTAGTACCCAACGCACGGTGACAATTCGTAGTGCGGCAGCTTCCCATTCGAATGCAGCGCAAGGTCGAACGATCAAAAGCGTCCCCCAAAATGTATTCGCAAAGATACCAAAGCACTATGGACATCAGCTATACTTGCGTCCTGTGTCGACTCAAGGTTGCCCATCCAAGAACAAGGATAGGTGCATTCAACCTTATTGAGCGCGCTTCGAGCCGCAATCGCTTCCCGAAATTAGAGGCTAACTACGGCCGGGATCAATATGGAGGGGTGCGTGTGCCTTCGGATCAGCAATGAATTGGACGAGTCTTGCCGCGTCATGGCTCCCAGGAGGGTGTTGGCAATATCAAGGATGTACACAGGGTGATCGCATTCCTAGAGCAACGACTACAGTCAGCTGAGCAAACGCAACGGAACAGGCTGCTCTCTGACCTGACACGGGCAGGCATTCCGCATACTGAACCAGTTTCCCGATCAATTGAGGACGTTGACGTCCCTCAATTTCTTATTGATCACAAACTTGTCCGTGCTACGTCTCAACTCGTTATCCAAGCTGGGTGGTCACTGGCGAAAACCATCCGAGTATTACGTGGTCAAAATGCAGGATCGCCAAGCACCAACAAGGCTTTGTCATCGGACCATTATGCGTGGCGATTACACGGGTACGAATACGTGGACCAGATCATCGCTTCTGCCTCACGCGGCGTCGAACACTTATTCAAGCGTGAATCTGAAACACTTCGTCAACGAGAACCCGTGCAAAACCACAAATCAGCGAGTCTATACTAGAATGCACTGCTCCGGAGTATTCATGATGGCCAGAGTAAGAGCACTTATTTGGTGGTGAGTCGCGCAGGCGCCTCGAGATGGAAGCCGCACTACAGTCCATTTGGATGTGAGGAAAAAGCCGATGTGATCCCGGCGATCGAGGCTAGCACAATTCACGATTTCTCATACCCTCTTCGAGAATTTACCAACTCGTGGCCAGACCAAGAATCAATTCCTGAGCGGGTGTATCAACTCGTTGATGTAATTGCACGTCGGATTATTCGTCTAAGAGCAGCCAATCGACAGACTGCGATCAAGCTGATGAAAAGCGATGTGAATTCTGCCTTCCGCAACTTGCACGTACATGAAAGCGCTAGCCCCGTTTTCGCCGGCTCAATCCCCGAGCAAGATATTGTGATGATCGATCTTGCGCTTCCTTTGGCTGGACAGAATCAACAGCTCACTACAGAATTTTTGGTCGAGCAATTTCGTTTCTCGTGCGCCGAGAAAGCCCTCACAGCATGAATCCTACTGATCCGGACGCAACGTCATTCTTTTGCTTTGACCGGGTAGACGATCACGCACTCGCGGAACTTGATGTGGGAAATCGCCTAGAAGCATGGGAATGCGCACTTCGACTGGCAATGACTGCAGTCCTTGGCCCCCGAACCATCAACGAAAAGAAATTCACAGCGTGGTATACGGAACTCGTGGCACTGGGACTGGAATGGGACTTATCAGCGATGACGGTGTCAATGCTTACTTCGAAGAACCAGAAGACCCGATCGTATTTGCACTATACTACGGGCTCGAACAACCACTCGCCATGAACTATCTCGACTTTTGGGTAGTTTACGCCGTGTTTGCTCATGCATCCGACCTGCAAAGCCATTCTTTCAACGGTCCCCAGGAAACCGAACCATCACGCTAACACGCGACGCCGAACTCGATCTCACGTGGTTTGAGCACATTCTTCGCTTCAGTCGTCTCCGGGGTGTTCCGCTCGAGTTTTTCTCAGATCTCCCCGACCCGAATGTACACCTCTACATGGATGCCAGCGACTTGGGTCTGTGTGTATTGCACCCAGCTCGGCGTAAATTCATCCGTATCCTATTTGACGACGAGGACAAGGTGCTAATTCAACAAGACAAGTTCAGTATCAACCTTAAAGAACAACTTAGTGCAGTACTTGCTGTGCTATGCAGGGGCGGCCAGTGGAGTTCCCATGATCGAGCTTCTCTCAACCACGTGCGATTTTGGGTTGACAACTCATCCGCTGTTTCATGGTGCAAAAGTTAACAAGCGATCATCCTCACTCGCAGGAGATGAATACAATTCTCGGAGCAGCAGAAGCACAACACGGCTTACGAATATCGGCTAAGCATCTCGCAGGGACAAGCAATTATCGCGCTGATTTGGGATTGCGTGCATGGAGATCGTCCCAGCAGTTGACAGAAGTTTTCCCATTGTCGCCATGTTTACTCATATTGCCGTCGAGAGGCATCTGCAAGGGAGTGTTGCTGAAGAGCGACCAGCTGGCGGCGTAGGCCTTACCCACGCTGACTGGTACGTGAACCTGTGACCATTGAGCGGTTAGTGTGAGCCACTTATTCTACAGGTTTCCAGACCATGGCTGCCAGAAGCCGTTTCCCAAACACAATCTCTTCAACTGGTGCTGTTTGCCATCTCTCGGTGGTCACCCATTCCTCGGGCACTAAACACGCTAGATCAAAATCCTCCATTCGCGCCCAGCTTAGCCATGTCAAGTGGTATCATCGCGTCTTCGCCGGATTTGAACCTACTGCCACCTCTGGACACGTCACCGCGCTTGAAGGGATCCGGAGGAGTAGTCCTAACCCACGTCCCAGGGCCCCAACAAATGCTCGACTGGACTGCAAAAAAATCGACTACAAGAAGCCCCACACCGCCTCATTCTTGGGGCTGCGCTGCTAGGTTTCTTCTATCTTCTAAGAAGCGCTGAGTATCTAGCCATACAGGGAGGAAGACACCGATACGCTCTTGAAGTTCATGACGTGGGGGTTTCCGACGTTACGGATAGACCCGCTGTTATGTTCCGCGACGCGACAAGCGCTGTGATAACACTACGTAGTAGCAAGACCTATCAGCAGGGTCGAGGTACATCCCGACGACTAATACGCTCCGGTCACCAATGCGTCTGCACCTGTTTCGGCGAAGCAATCCTTCTGGAACTTGCCGCCCAGCATCACCGTCAACCTACCGATCCGATATATTCATTTAGCAGGTCACGCACCCTGAAAGCGGAGGAACTATCAAAAGTACCCACGGCAGCAGCAGCAGCAGCGAATGGTCTCGATGCTCAGCCGTTTTCGTGCCACTCACTTCGCAGCGGAGGCGTATCTGCACTAATTGGGGGCAGTGCGGATTCGACAACGATTAAACTACACGGGCGATGGAAATCCAACACATTCTAGCGATATACACACTACTCTAACGACGTGGGAGCACCCTTGGCGGCGTAGATGGCTGCCATTAGCAATCGCACATATCGAGCAACATCGAGACCACTGTCGCTCAATGGGGTCCGCGTCACCTGCTGACGCGCCCACGCGTTGTCTCGATGTAGTCTCGTAAATGCAATTACTTCTGATCCCCATATCTTGCCCTCATCACGCAGAACAGAAGCAAATACCTTCATTGATGAGCGGAAGGAAACGAAGGTGCGAGTGACGAGAATTGCACTCGTTTTAGAGAACTGAGGCTCTGTTCGACGACAATACTCCACACCATTGAAGCAAGGCTGATGGTATCAGGGCAAGAAATGAGAAGGATCGTGCGTACATGTACCATGCATTACTAGGGGTCACTTTATGTGAAATCTATTTTTTTTATCATAGTCATAGGCGGCGAACGGATCGAGTCGTCAAATTTGACATCGAGATCGCCAAGGTTCTCCACCAGGACTTCGAGTATCCTGTTTCATTTGAACTGGATCCTCATAATGATACATCGAGGTGTTTTGTGTTGAAAATGGAAATCAAGAGTGAGGTCTAAGCACCAACTCATTGTTCCGACATAAACCAACACGATGGGATGTCCAAAACATTTTTCTTCTTATTTCGATGGATGTCTCTGCGTTTCGGTCGATTGTCAAGCTTAGGAGGCTCAGTAGCGCTTGTTCCTGCTGCACGTGCGCCGCTGACCAATAAACAGTAGGGCACGTTGCTGGTGTAACGTAGAGGAAGCTTGTGTTGCAGGATGCAAATTGGAAAGTGATATTAGTAAATTAAAAGTCTGCACTCTTTTGTGTCTAGACTATCTACTAACCACTCATTGCTAAATGTAAATTAGTTTACGAACGTCCCGTAAACTATCCTGTAACTCGTCC